TATTAGATAAAATGAATATTGATAAAGTTTACCTTTATGTACAGAATCTGAATATCGCAAAATATTTTTAAAAATTGCAATAATATCGTATCGTGCGTTAAGTATCGTGATAATATCGTATCGTGGGATGTATGGTGATTCCCACCTCTATTGCGCAACATAGAAGCCTGAAGTTGGAAAATATTTAGTATAAATGACATCATTATTTATTTGGTTACAAGAAAGAAAAAAAAATCTAAACATTGCTCCACCCAACTGAGTTTCCTGGAAGCTAAACCTCAGTCACTGATGGATACATGCAAGCTTGTATAACTTCATTTTCATGGTGAAAAACTTATCGGCATGTGAAATCACATCCCGCCTGTTGTTATGCAACAGTGTTTTATTAGCTAAAATAAAAAGGAAAGAAGAATTGCCCCCCATCCCCCTGCACGCACCGTAGTGGTTTGGATATGTAACCAAAGCAAAGTCAAAAAGAAAGTCTGAGACTGATCCAGCTGCCAGGTCATAGAAAGCTGACTAAACTCCAGAAGTGACGCTCATAATGGCAAATATACATTCTGGTAAAGGCTGACACGCTGCACTGACAGTGGCTGTAAATGGTGGCGTGTAGCGTTGCACCGGGAACAGTCTCTAAACTGTGCCAGGCCTGGATCATGTTAAAGGCTTAGCTCCCTTGTCCTACTTGTTATATCCAGGTGAGTGACAAGCGCATATGTGGAAAGCAATTCCAAGCCCCCGAGAAAACATTACAAGTGGGTGTAAACACCAAGCTCGATCAATGAATACGGACCTCACTAAATGTCTTTTAAATGCTGAACATCTACAAGTGTCCAACTCTATTGTTCACATTTGTCACGACTACCACAGTCAAAGGCACTCACTGTTGCTGGCTAGCCATTCGTTGAGATCTATCTCTCTGGGCAGCACCACCAACTCCTTAAGGTCGAAGTCCACCACGCGGACTTTTGTGAACTCTGGTTCCAAGTACTGTTTCTTCTCTTCTGCTGGTGGCTTCTTTCCATTTGGCTTCGTTTTGGACTTCCTGGAATATAGAAGACAAGAGGGCAGATTAATAAAATGATAAGGGTGCCGATAAGGCAAATACAAGATAAAGCGAAGCGGGAGAAGAAATTTACAAGTGCCTGAGATTTATGCCAGCTGTAAAACGACAGTTTAGTTTGAGTCCGTAAAGAATAAAAGTTGTTCAGGCTGCTGAAAAACCCCCCACATATATTCTACAACCAGTCTTTCAAGATGAGCTGGTCAAATGATAAGCCAACAGTAAATATAGAAACAAAACAGTACTTCAGTAAAATTCCACTGATAAACAGGGAAGTCAGCATAAAATAACTGGTATGCATCCAATGCATAACAGATTGCAAAAATATCAGTTACGAAACACAAACGTTCTGTGACTCTTCCATCGTTTGATTAACACCAGCCTAAAGAGACCAAACAAAAGAGCCCTTTGTTACTGTACCTATCCTCCAACTCTGGCTCAATACCGAATGTTTGTAGAATAGCTTCTATAAAGGCAGCCATCTCCAGCTCCTTGTACTTCCACTGTTAGTTTTCGCGCTGCAATGTGATATTGCACTCTGCCAGAGTTCCCAGGGCTGAGCCCTTTATTCCCCCAGCTCCTGCTCAGTGAAGGCACTGCCTTCCTGGGTTAAAGGTTGAAAATCTTAACAAGCAGCAGACTTTGCGCAATCAACTGTCCACCCATCTTCCTTTTTCACAATTTTAAAAGTTAGGACTAATAATAACCAGCTTAATCTGCTATTCCATTCAAGCCTTTCCACACCCTGTAAAGACTATTATTCTTCTTGAATTATACACACGTCTTTATTTCGCTCCTACATGCCAGTGCTACGCTGTTTTGATTTGCTGAAGGAGGTTCAGTTTGCTCCTTAAATTTATTGTGCTACTGCTGACCTTCATTTCCAGCCTTTTTGAACTTATTGCAAATTCCCCTCATCCTCGTTTCTCCACAACCTCCATCAACGTGTTCTCGGCTCTTGCCTTCTCTCCTTTACTTCCTGTTCACAGCTCACCCCACTGGAGTTTACAGGAGGAAAGTTAATTGGCTTGTTTTT